ATATTTTTTACTTAAAAAGTATATTGCTAAAATTAATTATTAAAATTTTATTATAAAAATTAATTTTAAAAAAATTATGCAGGCAAATTTGCCTGTATTACAATCTAAGGGATAGAATATGTTTAAATAAATGTACTAATTTAGTTAAAAAAAATTTTAAAAAAAACTTAATTGTAAAATATAGGTGTTATATATAATAGCAATATTACAAAAGATTTTGATTATATAAGAATTATATATATAAGTTCTTAAAACAAAAAAATAATACCAATATTTAATATCTTTTAGCAAGATATTATCAATATTTTTATATTTAATTTATAAGATACTTATTTGAAAAAATAATCATTAAGTTGTACAAAGAAGTTTTACTAGAATATAATATAATTTAAAATAACTAAACACTAGAATAATAAAAAAAAAATAATAAATACAAAAATAGATTATAGTAAAGAATTAGTCTTACTAAATTAAAAAACACTCTTCTGAAAAACTATAATAAAAATACTATAAAAGGCTAATATATAAAAGTAATTCAATATCTAAAATATATTTAAAGATACTAAGTTAGATAACAATTATATTTATATGAAAATTTATAATAAAAAAGTTTAAAATTTATTAACTTTAAAGATCAATAAAATTTATAATAATAGAATATTACTGAAGTTGATGTAACTCTCTAGATATAATTGAAATTGTCTTAAATTGAGTAGATAACATGCTAAAAATATATGTTATATGATATTAAAGTATTACTAAAATTAATATAACTTTTTAAATATATTTAAAATTATTCTAAATATATATAAAATAAGATTTAAACTATATTATAACAGATAATATTGAAACAAATAAAGATAATACTTTGTACTTGTAATGATTTTAAGATTTGAAACATTTATAAAAACAATAATAATAGAAACTTAACTTAAGATATATATTATTAGTATCTAAATTAATAATAGCAAAACTTTGATTTAAAATATATATTTATAACAAATCTATAATTATTGTTAAAATATTTTAAAAAAATAAATAATAAGTAAACCAAAGATAAAAGATTATAAGAATTATCAGCTTAAAAATATTAATTTAAAGTTGATATAAATAATATAGTAAAAAATATAAAAAATAAATATTAGCTAAAAATGATAACACAAACTATAAAACTTGAATCTTCTTATTAAACAAAATATTTTAATAACAATATCATTCAAATTATCAACAATTATAACTACAAATATTAATCTCAATTATAGTATACAAAATATGCAAAAAGATAATATAAATATTATTAAAAATAGTTACAAAAGAACAACAATCTATATTAAATTCATATAATCTAGATTAGATAATAAAATAAATTTGTAAAAATATATATAAAGACCTTTTTCATTCACTAAGATTGAATAAAAATCAATGATTACTATCAAGTTAAAAAAAATAATAGAATTTTTTTTTATATTAAGATATAATCTGTTAAAATTAACTTAGTTACATTATAAAAAAACATATTAAAATCAAAAAAAAAATATTATCTATTTTGTAAATAAATTCATCTCAATGAATTTTAATTTAAATTTAATAATTCTACTATTATTAAAATCAAAAAAAATCTACTTTACAATTTTGTTTAAAAATCTAAAAACAGTTAAGTTAGTAAAATTTTACAGTTGAACATCCTTACCTTAACACCAAAAAAAAAAACAATTGATGAGCATCAAGAACTTAGATAGGCTGTGCTCTGAAGATATTCCTGTGATACAAGAATATTGCATATGTAGAAGGTTTATAAAACCTGTATAATAATGTATAAGCGGACTACTTAAATTATGCATCAAAAATGCACGTATGACTAGTTGTAAACTCCAATGTAAGGGAACCCCTGAAGATACCCGTGTCCTATAAAAACTTGAATAAAAATGGCACTCTTCAAAGATAGGGACTTAAAAAATAAATAAAATTTTACAATTAAAATCATATGACAAGTGATCTATGTATACTTTAAGATAATATTGATACCTATATAGTTATTTGTATAGAATTTCAAAAATATGCACGCGGGTATCAAATTTAAACTACGTGAGTATATATTATATTTTTTCTTTTCACGTAGTTTATTTTAAAGACCGAAAAAAAAGATGATAAAACAGTGATAACGTCAACTATACAAATGAGAATTTTTAGTAGTCATCAATAACGATATTACGTTAACCATATATAGAAATATCATACTTGATTTTGATCTTGTACAATCATAAACGATAACAATCTGGTTTCGAACCCAGTTAAACTAATTTCAATCGAACCACCCAACATTCCTACTTTAGCGTAAACGATACACAAGTGATGGAAGGGGAAATCCTATAATTGATTTACTTTCACTTCATGTGATTAGTTCTAGACACATTGATATCTCTTTTAAGAATCACAAGATCATATAATTTTCAATAAAAAAAAATTCTTTTACTTAAGGCTTCGGGACTTTTTGATCAAACTTTGATTATTTATTGGACCATATTCTTAAGCAGGTGCTCTGTTCATAGTATAAGCTTTGTTGCATAAATTTATACAATTTTCGTTCAAATTTGATCAAATATCCCTACTGGGGTAGCCTATAACGATAATGGTAGAGACTGACCCATTGAATCACTAATAGTGGCTGAGTCTGATAAGGTTAATCAATTACAATCGTATAACCTGATACGTATAAAGAAAACCGGAGTACACAATGAGTGATACAAAAATCACACTGTTGATGCATCAAAGTTTGTTTTTTTGATTGATAAAACGTATTTAGCGTAACGATATCGATAGCCAATCAAATATCGTACCATGTGAAGATCTCATTTTAATGTCGAATGTCTGATTAACGCGATCTACTTAGCGTTAGTTTTTAAAATGAGCATTCGTTTCCAAAGAGGATATAACGATAATAATGACCGTCGTCCAAATTCCTATAATAATCAACGGAGAAATAGTGGCAGGAATAATAGATATCTAACCGGTCCACCGTATGTTCCATCAACTTATCGAACCCAGCCTGAACTTAAGTTTAAAGTAACTAATGTACCATATAAAGCCACAACTGCAGAGCTAAAAGAATATTTCAGCTCATATGGTAGTGTGCATGATTTATTTATTGACTTAGATGATAGTGATGGAACAGAACGCCCAACTGGAATTATTTTTATCACATTTAGGTTTGTGCTATTAAACTTGAGAGGGGATGCTACGTCTTTTTTTTTGATTAGTGGCTCTGATTTCTAATTATTTCAGACCTCCTCCACGACACCCATTCTGGAACAATGCTGTTCGCTTTCAGGGGCGAGAATTAAGATTTGAGTATAAACCATATAACAATAGTTTCTTAGACTATTCTGATGGTCGCCATAAAATTAGAGAAGATTGCATTGACGCTGAATGTGTTGATATGGGCGTATTTATTCAACCAAATATCTTGGTTTCGGATGCCAAGTTTTCCGAAAAAATAAAATTTGCGCTTGATTATAAATGGCATACTATTACTATCCAATTTGGTTTTCAAAGAGAACATATCTTCAAGTTGGAAATTGATTTCAACCATCTCGATGGTGAAATTGATGTTGAATTTGAGAATTCGAACTATCAACGTTCGAAAGCTCATCTCACAATAGCAAGCAAATTTCCGGCAAAATATTGGAAATTTCAAAACAGTGCACAATCTGTCAACCAATTTAGTTGGAGACATGATGAATGTTGGATGAGAAAGACTGAAATTCGTGTTGTCCCACGAAGTCCTGAGGAACAGTCTTTACCTCTACAACTTAATATGCCAAATAAGAGTGATCAACTTAGTAGATGGCATGTCTTTAGAATCACTTTCAATTTTCATGATTCAAATACTGATTACGTAGATTTCGAACAGATATTGAATAGAATATGTGAATTTAATCTTTTATCAAAATCTAGAGACCCTAATATTCGCATAAATGTCATATCAGCGGAAATGTTATCAAAATTCACAGATAGGTCTATGTTACCTTTTGATGTTTTTTACGTGACTGAAAGTAACATTTCTCATAACTTTCTAAACGAATACAACCTTTCTCAAGAATTCTACTGTATCTTGGCACGTCTACCTCCTAATTTTGCAATTAATATAATGAACACAATTTTTTCCCAAAAAAAAAGACTTTATAATCCGCTGACTTTTCTTAAACATGAAATTTCAAAATTAAAGGATGCAATGATTAGGCCAGACTATGTACCTCACTACTGTGTGCTAATGAGAAAAGTAGTGATAACACCCACAACTTTATACATGATACCACCTGTAATGGAAACATCAAATAGAGTTATTAGACATTTTAAAAATTACAAGAACAATTTTCTACGTGTTCAGTTCACTGATGAAGCTTCAGGAAAAGTTCCTTCTTCATCAGGAAATACCAATATAGCTCTATACAATAGAATATATAGAGTACTCGTAAATGGAATAAAAATTGGTGATCATCATTATGAATTTTTAGCCTTCTCAGCTAGTCAATTAAGAGATCATTCATGTTGGTTTTTTGCTTCAATACCAAATGTAATATCAGCTAGTGATATTCGGATATGGATGGGCGATTTTTCCAACATCAAAAGTGTTGCTAAATATGCTGCTCGAATGGGTCATTGCTTCTCTAGTACACGAGCAGTTTCAAATTTACAAGTTAATGAGATCAATGAAATTCCTGATATTATCAGGAATGGTTACGTATTTTCTGATGGTATAGGAAAGATCTCTCCACATTTAGCAAGAACTGTTGCTCAAGTATTGGGATTTAAACATGTTCCAAGCGCTTTTCAATTCCGATTGGGAGGTTACAAAGGTGTTTTATGCCAATCACGATATTTACGAAATAATCAAATTCAAGTTCGACCTAGTCAATGCAAATTTGAGTCCAAACATAATATATTAGAGATTATTAGGGGGTCACGCATGACTACCGCATATCTCAACCGACAAGCTATTACATTATTGTCAACATTAGGTGTACCTGATGATGTATTTATTACCATGCAAAAGGAACAAGTTGAAGAGTTGGACAGGATGCTTAAAAATGATGATACAGCTATTCGTGTATTAAGTAGTAATATCGATGAACATGATATTACACGTATGATGTCAGATCTTGTGAAAGCCAAATTTTTTCAAAGGAATGATCCTTATATAGTAAACCTCATTTCCTTATTCCGAATTGCAATGTTAAGGAATTTAAAAAAGAAAGCCAAAATTCGTATTGATAAGGGAGCCTTTTTATTAGGTGTATTGGATGAAACTGAAACTTTGAGAGAAGATCAAATTTATTGTTGCATCACTGATCCGCAAAATCCACACTCGAGAAAAGTAATAGAAGGAAACTGTGTTATATTTCGTAATCCTTGTTTTCATCCTGGAGACGTACGTGTTGTTGAAGCTGTTAAATGTAAAAACCTAGACTATCTTGTCGATGTTGTGGTTTTTCCTGCAAATGGATATCGTGATATCCCTAGTCAACTTAGTGGCGGCGATTTAGATGGTGATGATTTCACGTAAGCATTCATAATCTGGTTTTAATAAATTCGATTTTTATTCATATTTTATTTTTAATAATTTATTAGAATAATTTATGATCCGAATTTAATGCCTAAAATTAAAAACTTTGAACCAATGAATTATGGTGCACCTCAACCACTTTTAGTTGATAAAGTAACTATTGATGATGTCAAAAAATTTTTTTTAAATTATATATTGTCAGATAATTTGGGCTTAATTTCGAATGCACACTTGGCTAAAGCTGATTTGGCAGAAAATGGAGCTTTTCATGGTACATGCCTTCGTTTAGCTCAGCTTAGTTCTGAAGCAGTAGATTTTCCAAAGACTGGCATTCCTGCCGAATTTCCTAGTGAACTTAGAGCAAAAGATGTACCTGATTTTATGGAAAAGTTTGATAAACCCACTTATTGTTCAGATAAAGTTTTGGGAAAATTATACCGATCAATAAAACTCTCAGATTTCGATCCTTACACAAAAGTTATATTCGATGAAAGGTTAATAATTCCAGGATTTGAGTTCTACCTGAAAAGTGCACGAATTCATAAACAAGAATATGATTCGGAATTACGTGCCCTAATGAATCAATATGGTTTATTATCTGAATATGAAACTGTAAGTGGTTTCATCATTAATACTACTCATTTAGTTGGAAAGAAAAAGCCACGAGAGACACAGAATTCTGTAGCGAATATGGTAGCAGCTATTAAAAGTTGTTATAGAGAGAAGTTTGAGCGTGAATTTTATGGCGAGGGAACAAATGTAGTATCACCTGAAGCATATGGTCTAATGAAAGCTAAAGCATCTGCGTGGTATTATGTTACATATCATCATTCAGAATTGAAAGAAGATCCTGTAGAAAGGATGATATCGTTCCCATGGATAAATTATGGGATCTTGTGTGATATAGCAACTAAAAACCGGTCTAGAATAAATACAGGGTTAAGCCATTAAAGGAATAACGATTCAACCCTATTTTTGAATTATGACATCAACACAATTTGGATCTGGAAGTCAAGGCATTACTTCATTTGGGATAGTGTATACATGTGACCTAAATTCTTTCGGCATATTCGAAGCTAGTTTCGACACAGGCTGTAATAGTTTCGACACAAGCCGAAATAATTTCGATCGCATGTATAGGATATCGGTCAAATTTAAATACATGTCATTCTTAGTCAATGGCATAAAACTCAAGAACCAATAAATTCTGTTAAATCAATGCTATGAGTGTTAAAACTTTGTTATTTTAAAATTTTAAGAGGGATTTAGCGACTAAGCAGGGTATATTGAAATCCAATGATGTGTAACAGTGGTAAGTCCAACGAATGAAAGTTGTTTAACACCCAAAATGAAAGCCGATCAAGTTTCCTTAAAAATTCGAATAGAAGTGCTAACAGTCCTTGAAATATAAAAGCCCTTAGTATAAACCGATCCCTTATATAGACCATTGTTGTAAATGTTGCGGCTTATGCTGAAATTAGGGGTTCAATTTGAAAATATAAAATCCACATATAATCTTGATTATAAACTCTAACCTAGATACTAGCTCAACCTTAAGAAAAACTAAAAACCTTAATATTAAAATAGGTCAAAATTTAGCATCAGTCAATGAATTACCCGTGACTTGACCAGAATCATAAAATCTGCTCTTACCGTTACCGGTGAAGCGCATCAGATTTTTTAGTAAATAGTTAATTCTGTAATTAGCTAACAAGGTTACCTTGTTATGTAAAATATATTGTAAAAGATGGGAAATGGCGTAGTTAACAATAATAAACCTTAATAATTTATTAATTTATTGGAATTATAATCACATTGAAAGTGCTAACTGATTGGCTTCTAGCAAATTATTTTTGATTAGAGATATACAAGCAAAAAACTAAACATTTTTCAATTATGAAGGTTCTTGTCAAACGGGGGGTTTTTTAATTCAATGATGTTAAACTCGTGTAACATGTTTCATTAGATTTTAAAATTATATAGCATATCAGTATAGTATAACTTGTTAGATTAGTATAGTTTGAATGTATATAAGTCGATAAAATAATTCAATTTCTATTTAATATATTAAACTCGATCAAATTATTGTGGCTGATTAAAATGAAATCAGTTCAATGAAATTTGTACATAAAATATACAAGCCACCGAAAAATACAAAATTTTAGGGTTAGGGACAGCTTTAGGGGTAGAATTTATAATAAACAAGTATAAGTGGGCTTTAGGAGGCTAAATAGAAATCTTCAATTTCACTTTCATTATGGTCCGCGACAATGTAAATGAGAGTAAAGTATTTTCTTATTTGACAACGAAGTAAACCCACGAAAAATACGAGTAATTAAAAAATGTTGGTAATATACGTAAAGGGATCCTTCCATATATCAGATCCCCCATGAATTAGACCAAAATTTTTTTCTTAATGATATAAACTCTCAGCTGTATACTAGACCCGAGCTTTTTAAAATTGGAATGTAAGAGACCCAGATCTTGTATATGACCCTTTACGGTAATTTTGTCGTTACTTATAATGCGTATCTAATACTAACCTTAACTTTTATTTAAAGAACCCCAAATCATTACAGGGTACACCGATAACAAATAATGTCCAAATCACATGAATTGTGATGCAAGATCAACAAGCCCCATGTTTTACAAATTGTATGCACTTTCGGATAAATTTGAAGGGGGTACTACGTAATTTATTCACTAATGTACCTAATGTCTCATAAACAGTTCATAATTTTTGCTATTACTCTAGCTTTCTTGACAACTTTTACCTATTCCACACCATATGAGACAATCGAAGATGATATATTTGAACAGGATATTAATTTCTTTTGTAAAAATGGAACAAACTTGAGTTGTTGTCCTCACCTAGCGAACAGAATCGCTCATAAACATTATTCTCGATGTGCGTCAATTATTCTCATCAATAATAGTGGCTATAATATGACACTGGATGTTGTAAATCTTGAAGATGGTCGTTGGGTCACTTCAGATGATTATGGCGATGATGTTATCGACATAAACTGCAAACCACGCACACTTTCAAATTATGAATCTGAGGCTATTTCTAGTGTTACAAATCGTCTTCTTGGCGGAGTGATAGGTTATGTTAGTTATACCATTGATGATGATATGTCAAGCAAATTTATAATCTCTTGGGAAGTTTCTGCAATTGGTCAACCTAGATATTACTTTAGTTTCCTTGATAAATCGTATACACATGAGTATAATGTTAGGTTCGAACAAAGCTTTGGAGATACGGTGTATCAAGTTAAAATTGACAAGAAAATACCATTGATGCCTTTTTTCATATCAATATTCCTTTTCATATTATTTTTCCCTATAACATTCTGTTGTTGTTTGGTGTTCGGTCAAGTTTCTAGATCAATCGGACAACAAGATAGACAATCTTATGAGTCTCTCTTACATCGGGAACGACAAAGACAACCAAAGCGACAATCATATAATAATCAATATGGACAACAAAGACAATATTCTTACAATAATTTAAATAATAATCAATATGGACAACAAGGACAATCTTCTTACAATAATTTCAATAGAAATGATCCCCCACCACCTTATGATCAAATTTTCTCTAGAAACTAGGATAATAGCACAAAATGTAAGTTCGAATTGAGCTTTTGTCGATCGTTTGAATTATATAAATTTTAAGTAGTGTTGTCAATTGACAATTGACAGTTTTTGTATTATTTTGTTTATTTATTATCATTATGCATACAAAAATGTATTTTTCTATATTATAACTTATAATACTTTGTGAAAATAATTTTAACGAAATAATAAACAGATATGTACTCTGGCATTTTTTTTACTTATACTATCTGGACATTCCGCAAGTATAAAGATATTATCCTTTGAAATGTATTATGTATAGAGGTATATCTCTCGCAGAGGTAAACCTAGCATACATTTCACATATCTCGCGTGAGACTTTATCGCGCGAGCTCGCTGATCATAAGTAATAAAAATTTCATTTTAGAGTATATCATTTAAAATTTTCTTAATCAAATTATTTATCTCGCGCGAGGCTTGACGTCATCTTGTGAGGTCGCGAAATATAGCGAGTGCGATTGTTTTGTCAATTCGCGCAAGTTACATCTCTAATTATGTATAGTATTAGGTATTTACAGAATTAGTATCGTATGAAATTTTAAATTAGTCCGTACAATAGTACAGTACAAAATATATGTCATAAGTGGATGGGTTCAAGTAAACTTAGAAGAAAGAATAATAGATGAAGCTACTTTGACGTGTGCAACTGGTCCTTATCAATTAAACCAAAATTGTTGGTGATTTGGTAGCGTTGTTTATTATACCAATGAGAAGAATGATCAAAATTTTATTCAGACAGTATAGTAATCATTACATGTTTAGAGGAAAAAAGCAACACAGGTTGAACAAATGAATAAAGGGTGAATAATCTATCTTATATCTGTCAAATAATAGCAGCATAATAGCAGAATAACAATAAAATAACAGGAGATATGTCAATATTAGTAACATATACAGGTCAAACAAATGAATAAAAGGTGAATAATAGGTAAATAGCAGAAAAAAAATCTGCCATTATTCTACCTTATATCCATCAAATAATGGCAGCATAATAGCAAAATAACAGCAAAATAACAGGAGGTTTGTTAATCTAAGTAACATATATAATAGTAACATTATAGCAAAATAATAGAACAGTTCTATTATTTTACTTTTAGTTACAAAGATTAAAAGTAAAATAATAGAGTTGTTCTATTATTTTGTTATTATATTATTATTATATTACAAACCTTCTATTATTTTACTGTTATTCTACTATTATGTTATTATTATACTGTTATTATTTGGTATATATAAGGTAGAATAATAACAGATTTTTTTTCTATTATTTACTTATTATTCATCTTTTATTTATTTGTTTAACCTGTAATAATAGTAACATATTAGCAAAATAATAAAACAGTTTTATTATTTCATTTTTTAATTACAAAAATTAAAAGAAAAATAATAGAATTATTCTATTATTTTACTAATATGTTATTATTATATTACTAATATTAATAAAACTTTTATTATTTTACTGTTATTCTATTATTATATTATTGTATACTATTATTATTTGGCAAATATAAGGTAGAATAATAATAGATTTTTTCTATTATTTACTTATTATTTATTTTATATTCATTTATTCAATTTGTACAAGAGTTAGCTAATTAAGTAATAATTAAAAAAAACTATAATCTTATAGAAGATATTAAAATTACAAATAAAATTAGTTAAAATTAAAGATTATAATGATAATAAATAATATAATAAAGTAGATAAATTAGTAAAAAAAGAATTTTAATTAAACACTTTTAAGAATTAGTATTAATCTTTATTAAAAAAAAACTGAAGATCTTATAAGACATTTTATAAAAAACATTTTAAATTTTTTTTTTAAATATTAAGGTAAGTACTTGCAATCTAGAATTTTATTGATAGTATATTTGGTCAATAGTTATATTACAATCACAGAAGTCAACTATAAAAAGAATATACAACTAGTTACTTATATAACTTTAGTTATTGTTTAATTTAAGTAGTTTGCCTAAAGGTTCTAGACTAGCTGTCATATCTGAAACCTGTTTTAGATTTTCTATTTAAACTCTTTAATTCTTATATTTATTCATCTACTTCTGCTTATTAATAACTCTGGCTAATGCTAATAAAAATATGTTATGATCACTAAGTCTTTAAAGCAGTTCACTTATATAGAAAACTTTTGACTTTATACTAAACCTTCTAGAATCTTTTATATCCTATTCTTACAACTAATCTGGTATTACTATAGTTGAGATCAACACTAGCAGTTAGAATATACTATTAAACTGTTATGTTTTTGTAGAGTTCATTCCAACTCTAATACTAACTTTATAACATATTCCTATTATTTTAATATTTAATTTAAGTTTTACCAAGCTTTTAAACCAGATAGTCTAAAAAAATAGATTATAATTATATCATTAATTTATATATTTTTTACTATATAACTTTTTTCTTTAAAATCTAAAAATTTTAGTAGCCTAACTAGTTCCATTAAGTTCCTTTCCAAAAACCAGCTCTTTGCCTAGTTTTACAAATTTTAGCTTTATTTTATAGTTCTAATTTTTATAATAATACTGTTAAAAGTTCAGATTATCTCTCTATTCAGATCTTTTAAGTGAGCTTTTATTTTCCTATTTGGTTCTTGTAATTTACATAGTTTAAAGACTTATCATAAGTTCATTCCACTCAGTACTGGCTTGTGTTTTTTTATACAATATTATACAAATACCTAGACCTTTTAATCATACTAATATGATATAGGTTATAGGCATTTAATTCTAACCAATCACAGAAGATAGTTAATTATAATATAAAAAGAATTGCAAATTTTTACTGTCACTGAAATTTAAACTCTAGACCTGCCACTTGAAAGTTGACAATCTGTTCACTTTACTAGGTTGCCATACTTCTAAAATATTCTAAATTTTAAAATAAATAGAAAATAAAAATTTATATTAATAATCAGAAAAATAAATTAAATAAAAATACTAAATCATATACTGATTATATATTTAAAAAAAAATTAAAAACCAAAAATAAGAATAAATATGCAAATGTAAAAAAGAATAAGTAGATAAAAACATTAAATAAATACATAAATAATAAGTTATTAATATGCAAAAACTTTAATATAATATAGATTTAGTTTGCATAAAAGTTTATATTTTATTTTTTACAAAAAAGAAAAAGAAAAAAATTAGGATTATTTAATAAGATAAATATTATAAAAATAATTAGAAAATATAAAAAATCTTTTAATTAACTTAATATAGAAAAACTTGTTAAGAAAATTTAAACAAAATAAACAAAACTTAATTCAAAAAATATTTTAAAGTTTTTTAAAAAAATTAAAATAAAATACAAAATAATTAAAAACTTAATTTAAAAAAAAATAATAAAAAATATAATCTATTTAGGTTAGACTAATTTAAGTTTTTGTTTAATATAATTTTTTAAAAATTATATATATAAAAATATTATTTTACTAATTAATTTGCAGTATTAGTTTTTTAAATTTTTAAATTTTTTATGTATTTTTATTGATTTGTTTTTTATATTTTTTTATTTTATTCTTATTAACTATTTTATTTTATATTAAAAAAAAATTAAAAAAAATAAATAAATTTCTAACTGTAGTAATTAGTATAATATAAAATAGTTTCTACAAAAATATATATAAAAAAGATATATTTATTTATCTGTTTTGCACTATATAAATAATATTAATATATAGATAAACACTACTAAAAAAAAACAATATTTCTGACTTACTGAGAAAATAAAGATTTGATATATAAAATACAAAAAAATAGAAAAAATAAGTAAACACATAATAAAAGCTCAGTCTGAGCTTAATAAACTGTAACTAGTTATTTGATATAAATATATCAATAATAATAAAGCAAAAATTAAGTAAAAAAGAAATAAAGAAGCTATTATCACAATTAAAGAAAACATACAACATCCTTAAAATCCAACATCTAATTTTTTTAAACACAGTTACAGCTATTAATAAATATCAAAACAGTAAACAGAATACCAAAAGGTAAAATTAACAGCAAACTAGACAAGATCTATACTAACCAAACATCAAAAAAAAACATATACTCTTTAAAAGAGCAAAAAATAATATAAAAAATAGGCAATCTGGCTTACTCTTATTAGAAAATATAATAACATCATTTATATAAATAATAATAACAACAAATCTGTTTCAATATATTCAAACAATACAAGTGCAAATATAACAGATAACAACAATAAATAAATATTTATTTCTTATAATAGTTAGTTTTATATTATTATAAATAACAATGTTAATATACTTTTAGATACAGATACAAGCACAATTATTAGAAATAACAATAAAATAATTACTTAACATAAAGAAAGCATTCAAATAACAAATAATCAAAATGATTTATATAATTATATAAAAAACAATAATAAAATAATATAGAATCTGTTAATATAATTAATAGTTATCAAACAGAATCTTGATGCCAAATATATAGTCAAGTAACTAAACAAAATATTATAATAAATAAAGCATAAAACAGATAATAAACAAGATTATAACTAATTATATAAATATATCATCTAACTTAGCATTAAAAAAACAACATAGAATCTTTTAACACAACTATTTAGAACTATGACAAAATTATTAAACTGTTTAAAATCAAACAAAAAATAAATAAATTTATAACTTATAAGTTACAAATAAAATACACTAATCATATAATTTATTTTGTAATTAAAGCAAAATTTAGATATCTAAATACTGCATTCTTTTTTATCTTTACAAAGACAAAAAAATTATATCTTTATATCAAGCTGTCTATAAAAAATTATTTAGAAAAGCATTTATAATATATAAAAACCTAAATATAATTATTATTACTAACAAAACAATCAAAGACTTAATATAAAAAACTTTAACAAAAAATTGCAATAAACTTTATTATTAACAAAAATTTCAATATATTAATTCTTAAAACAGT